GAGGGAAGAACTTCTAAAGGAATAAAGGAAATGTAAAAACATCAACAATTATTTATTATATGAATGGAAAAACTTATTCCGTATATAAAATTGAGTAAAAACTATAGAATAACATTTTTTATATGGAATTTCATTTTCGAGAAAAAATTGCATATAATCAATAATAATCCATTAACCTATTTATAATTTTATTCTTTAATTGCTTCTATCGTTTTTGATATTACTTTTTTCCACAATTTTTATAATTGTAGATAAGTCGATTGTTAGTATATTGCTTTATTTTCAGACTAACTAAACAACGGTATATATACAATAAAAAATGTTAATACCTCAAAATAAATATGGTTTGTGTAAATATACGAATTATAAACAAATTAAAGTGATTATATTACCTGATTTTATAAAATTTGACGTTATTTATCTGAAGTCGAGGTGCATCCATGCTAATTAGAACTTTATTTCACGAAGCAATTTAGACACTTATTTTGTTTTCGAATTGTTTCCAAATTTTTCAACTCGTTATGGACAATTTTATGCAGAAAGATTCACGCCAATCAGAATATCTGAATTTTTCGTGTTGTATTTAAAATAAAACTGTACTTATTAAGTCTCGCATTTTGCAATTATTTCGATTTTTAACAGCAACATTACGAATCGAGAGTATACTGTAAATAAAATAATGAAATACAAATGTATAGCATAACCTTGATTGGCTGTGCAGCTGGTAATTCAGAGAAGTTTAAATAACCGAGTGATACGATCGAGTTAAGTTCGACGAAAACATACTTGAAAGTTCCATACTGGAGAACTTACTTGTTATGCTTGGCTAAATCGAAACTCTAAACACATATCCACAGGGAATAATCCACATTGTTTCCATTGTACCCTATATTGGATGAAAAATTTTGCCTGTGGAGATTAACTTAATACGCTTGACAAATAACAAATAAAATCAATATGTTTGTTTAATGACTTAACATTCTGTGAACTTCGTTGACATAGTTATGGAAATGTGAAAAATTAAACAAAACTAGTTGTTCATATAATCGTTCACATAATCGTTAAAATCTGCTCTTTTTTTCCACTTCTAATTACAATCATTTCAGTTGTTTTAGCTATTATTAGCATAAAAAAGATGGGTAATGTTTAAGGTTAACATTTTTTTTACAGATTTCGTGTTTTACGAAAACATATTTTGTGCAACGGTTATTTTCTACAGCATATATTTATAAATATAATGTCAGCCAGTCATTATAAATATATGCCATTTACCTTTTTCTCGTACATTTTTTCATTTTGGTAATTTAAAATATTCCTTTTCCTTCTATTAATAGAACGTTCAATTTGATTGGAAATGTGTAGTCTCTCAGCACGACAAACTTTTCAATTTCAATTCAATGCTGTTTCAATCTACAGACATCATTGGTGAAATACTACATGAAGGCAATTAGCTATAATCACATTTCTCTATTTCGACTAAACTTTAGATATTTTCCAGACACCGTATATTAGTAAATTCATTTAGGACTAATTTTAAAACTATATTTTTATTTATATCTTTAAATTATAACAACAATTTATCAAATGATGCTGAAATATATGACTCTTACACTGCAAAAAATAAAATATGACAAATGACGATATGTTTTAATAAATATATCAAACAAACTACATTTCCCGATTGCGTTTATTCTCGACAACGCTACTGTAATGCAATATAATTCTAATATGTATTTTACCTCAGCACATACCTTATAACATGGATGCGAAGCTTTCCTCGGCACTGACGAAAGATCCCCATATTTTCTGATGCAAAGTTAGTGGGACGTAAATCAACCACAAATTCGCGGATCAGTCTGTTTTATCGTACTTATTTCTACCGAGGGAAAAAAAACATTTCCGAACATCCAGTTATCAATAATCCAGTTTAGAAATGTACGCATTCGTATTAAGCATAAGTATGCGAAGTAATAAAATGGCACCAAAATGGAACAAAAACAGATGAATACAAAATAAAATTTTCCTGTGAACAAAATTAATTAATTGAAAAGCATCGATAGAAAATGGTTTTTAAAAAGGATTTGTTTGCTTAGAAATTCGAAAGCAAAAAATTGATAAATATCGTTAATGGAAATTAATTCTAATGGAATAAGTAAAGCATCACTTAAATATCGCGCTTCAACTATGACAGGAGACAGCTGCACATTTCCATTGTTATAAAAACTGTTTTCTGCGTGCACTGAAACTGTATCACTTGGATAAATCTTTCGCTTTAAACGTGAATATCGTGCTCTCTACATTATCGCCTTGTCGTTACTGTCGGTAACAAGAATCATTAGTAGAAATTGATGCATTTCCCATTATTTCCTTATCTGACAGCAGATATCCTCTAATTGCGTATTTTTTGATAAGTTTCTTGTTTTAAAACTAAGATAGCTTCAAGAGTATAGTTACACAATACTTCTATAAAATTGTATTTTAGAAATTATGTTAACTTTAGTATATGATACTATTTGATATTTATATTATAAATTGTTTTTTTACTCAGAGTATAGTTATACTTTATCATTATTTAATAATGATAAGTATATTTAGTAATTTTTTAATTTTGCATTTCTTGTTGCATACTATAGAATTCGCGTTGTGATTTTACGAAGTAGACTGTTTATGTCACTATATGTATAAGTAACAATGTTCAAAGTAAAAGCGTTGGAATTTTGCAAACCAAGCTGTATTTATCTCATTAAAAGCTGAACGCTGTCCAAAGTAAAAATAACTAATAACATTAATTAGCATTTATGGAGTGTGTCTTACATTTGTGCATGTAGAAGTAAGAGAATAATTCGACCATAGTGAACAATTATAAGCCAAAAGCGCTGTAATCATAAACTGTACTCAATTAGTACGTTTAATACAATTAATAATAAGTTTTTTTTTTATTGTTATTAATTTTTATTGTTATTAATTTTTATTGTATTAATACATTTGATAATAAGTTTATTGAAATTATAATTTTCTTAATTTTTATATTAGCAAAATTAAAGTATT